TTGCGGGGCCACTCTCTACAATCTTCGAGAAGTCATGGAGATCGGGGGATGTCCCAGAGGATGGGAGGAAGGCGAATGTTACCCCTATCTACAAGAAGCGCTCAAGGGAGGATCCGGGTAATTATAGGCCCATCAGTCTTACTTCAATCCCCGGGAAAGTCATGGAACAGATCCTCCTGAGGGCCATCACAAGTCAAATGAAGCATGTGACTGGGAAAAGCCAACACGGCTTCACAAAAGGCAGATCGTGCCTGACAAATCTGGTGGCCTTCTATGATAAAGTGGTCTGCTTGGCTGACATGGGGTGAGCGGTCGACATTGTCTACCTGGACTTCTCCAAGGTCTTTGATATGGTTCCCCACAGCCTCCTCCTGGAGAAACTGATGCGTTATGGCCTGGACAAGCGGTCTGTGCACTGGGTGAGGAATTGGCTGATGGGCCGCACCAAAAGGGTGGTGGTAAATAGCTCTTTTTCAAACTGGCAACCCAGCACAAGTGGGGTCCCCCAGGGATCAATATTGGGCCCAACGCTATTCAGTATCTTCATAAGTGATCTGGATAACAGGATTAAGTGTAGCCTGATGAAGTTCGCAGATAACACCAAATTGAGTGAGGAAGTAGACACTCTGGAAGGGAGAGCCACCCTGCAGGAAGATCAGGATAAGCTGGAAGAGTGGGCTAACAAGAACCTTATGAAGTTTAACAAGGACAAGTGTAAGGTCTTGCACCTGGGAAAACATAATCCAGGAGTGCAGCTCAGACTGGGATCCACCTGGCTAGAGAGCAGCTCCGTGGAAGGGGACCTGGGGGTCCTGGTGGAGAGGAAGCTCAACATGAGTGAACAGTGTGCTGCTGTGGCCAAGAAGGCCAATAGGATGCTGGGTTGCATCAAAAAGGGCATCACCAGCAGAGATAAAGAAGTCATCACCCTGCTCTACTCAGCGCTTGTCAGGCCACACCTGGAATACTGTGTACAGTTCTGGTTCCCGTTATACAAACAGCCTTGAGAAAAGGAAGCTTAGAGGTGATCTCATCACCATGCACCAGTACTTAAAGGGGAGCTACAAAGAAGATGGAGACTCCCTTTTTACAAGGAGTCACAGGGTGAGGACAAGGGGTAACGGGTACAAGTTACTCCCAGGGAGATTCCGATTGGACACGAGAGGTAAATTTTTCACAATGAGAACAGTCAATCATTGGAATAATCTCCCCAGGGAAGTGGTTGACTCTGCTACGCTGAACATGTTTAAGACTCAGCTGGACATGGTGCTGGGCCATCTCGTCTAGATTGTGCTAGAAAGGTTGGACCAGATGATCCTCGAGGTCCCTTCCAACCTGATATTCTATGATTCTATGAGTCAGATACAGAGCAAGTCAGATGTTTTACACAACATTCTGCATTTTATTAGCTGCTGCAAACTACTTGCCACAACACAACTACTTTCCTACAAGCACGTTCCTGCAACAGGTGGAATGGAAAAACCTAGACCATTTACTATCAATCAGCTTAAGCACTTGAAAACGGTCTTTAATTAAATCTCTCCCTGCCTGTCCCATCTGAGCATGCGTGTTAGCCTGTTTCATAACTTCTGCGTGATGCTACTGAGAGCAACGATTGCTTCTGGCAGCTGGCTTGTACTGTTACTGCTCTATATCTGCTGCTTGTACTCAAACCCCATCAGCTGTTCCAGAAATATATGCTGTTTTCATAGTTCCTGGTCACTCACAAACACTCTCTGGATTTTTATTTTGTAAATGTGCCAGGAAAGAGAACATTTGCCTGCACATGAAGAGCCTCAGAAACTGATTGTAGTTGGGAGCCTGAGTGTGACCTGTGACACAGAGTAGAACAAGTCTCTTGGGTCTAGTAAGTTTATCCAAACCCAGCAATAGTTTGAGCAACTTTATTAATGACAACATTGAACATCTTGTTTAAAGTCTTTGCTGGCAATTAGCTAGACCAAAGAAAGGGACAGGGAGTGGATGCACGTATAAACCCATTTTCTGTAAAATAAATACGTAAATGACCTCAACTGCAGAGAAGAGATTATCTGTTGTGGCTCATGTACGCAATCTGTCTCCTGTGAGTCAAGAAACTGGTGTTTAGCTTGGAGTCCAACTAAATTCTTCACCATAAACACTGGGCAAGCACTCATCAAGCTTCCTGAAGGGACAAACCTCACTAATCCACACACTCTATAGCTCATCCAAAGCAGCAAACACCGAGCTGGAGGCAGCAAGGGGAAACACCGATTGATTATTTTGGAGTGGCTCTGGATAAAAATGTTTAAGTGAGTCAGGTGCCTACCACCCACTGATTTTCTCTGCACTTAGCAGATGTCTACATCGCATCTGAAATTTGGGGTTTGGCACGCGTTTTTGCAAATTTTGTACGCATGAAGTAATGAAGAAGGTGAACTAAGACTAAACAAGTTATCAAAATAAAGAATCAAGTTACATTTTACCATAAATGTCTTTATTTTTGTTATTGGAGTTGTGTACTTTTTCATAAAAGGTATTGATCTAGCAAAACACTTGAACATGAGTCAAAGTCATTGAAGCTAGCAGAATTACTCGCGTGGTGAGAATTAAGCACAAATGTGAAAGACAGAGATCAGGTGCTACTGCATACAGTCAATTCATTTGCGATAGGTTTCCCAAGAATTCTAAAATAGTCTAAAATAGGCAAGACCACACTGTGATTTCATGGTAAGTTGGCACAGTTGGACCATAAGCACTTTTGACACTCTTTGTCTGGGGTCACGGTGAACACCATGGGCTTCAGAGGAGCTGGATTCTCATTGTGTGAGATCTGCTCCTCTTAGGAAATACAGCTGTGGAAACTAGACCCGTGCTTTTTTGCAATGAATAAGAGTAGCAGATTTTCAGATCTTAGCCTTACAGTAACAACTTCTAGGAGGAAGGTAGCAATTGAATCAATATGGTTTTGATAATCTTAGAGAAAATTCATTTAAGAAAATTGTAAGGCATTATCCTGCAGTAGATCTGGTCATCACTGACCAGATCTAATCTCACTTTAGGTCTTAATGCAGTCATTAGGATTTATTATAATGGATTAACAGTTGTATAAAAGGCATACACAAGTACAAGTATTGCTAAATTAATTCCTCATACAAAGTATACGAATAATGCACTGTAAACAACTGCTTCTCATAGGTGCTTCAGTTTCCAGGCTTTAATAGTTGCTTGTCATCTTTGGTTAACGCAAGATTTTTTCTGTCCTCAGGAGATCCACTACAACAGCTGAGCTTTTACAAACCGAGTCCTTGCTCGATTACCTGATTCCATATACTTTGAAGTACAAATGTTTTGTTCAACCAGATCAACCAAAACAACCGAGTGAACTATATTTGTTATGTTGCTAACATACAAACATGTGCACATGTGTATATATATATGTGTACATATACATATATCCACGTATGTGAACATACACCCCCTCACTCTGCCCCAGGGAGCACCTAGGCCAACAGATGTGTTCAGCATCTGCCGTAAGGCCATCCAACAGGAATGCATGCCAGCATCTGGGTGCTGTTTAAACACACACAGACACATACAACTATGGATTTCTAAAGTGATCACAAGAATTGTTTTGATCATGACTGAATACAGCCCTGTAGAAAGAAGGAAAGCCCCATGACTCTCCAATAAACAGAATCAGTTGCACGGGCACAGTCCCTTCACTTTGAACATATCTGGTTCCTCCCCATCCTGCTGCAACTGTGGTCTCAACATTTCTGCCTCAAGCATCAGTATCTGCTTCATTATGCGGCAGTGTAATCTGAAAATCCACTGGCTAGTCTCAAAAGCTAAACCAGTTTCTGATGCAAAGAAGGTCACTTAAATCCACCATCTGTCTGCAGGTTTGAAAACTAGTCCAAAATATCCAGAAACTGAATTCTATTACAAATTGCTCTAAATATTAGTGAAAGATTCAAGGGGGGTTTAGAGAGAAGTGGAAGGTGTGTATATAATTGTGTAAGAAAAGTAAGGAATTAATTGGTCTTTCTGCATCACAGAGAATGTTCTCCAGTACCATTCTCACTAGTACCACATTAAAACTGTTAATAAATCTTGTAAGTTAGATAGCCAATGCATCATCTCAATTCATCTGTTTGCAAGGGCAGGACTTCCCCTGACTATATTCTGTGGTGTTTTGTTTATTTATAAATGTCTCTATGAACTCCACAGGGAGACTGTTTCACAGGTTCATGGCTAGAAAGCTTCTCCTGATTACACTTGGCTCTGTTCCCCTTACTCATAGTATTTTCATTTCTAGCTATCGCCTCTAACTTCTGTTATCACAACTGGTAGGATGTTTTTTTCTAGTTTTTTTTTATCTGTAAAGGAGAGGGATGAACAAATGTGAGGAACAGTGCACTTGTCAGCAATGTGCTCTAGCAAGCATCTGGTTCTCAATATAACAATTCATGCCATTTCATGGGTGCAACCGTTGCAGAGCACTAGCCATTTTCTCATGGTGGACTTAACTAATTTGTGGCTTGGCAGAAAACTTCATACTTCAGTCCTTAGAGCAAAGAACTGAAATTTAGGCATGCATCAAAACTGGTTTAACTCTTCAAAGTTGCTGAGCAAGCACTGTTCTCATGGACTTCATCAGGAGAGCTAGGCCACCTATGAGCAGTTATATATGAATTCTGCAATCCATTTTAACCTTTTAATATTGGCACTTTTGACCAGCGTCCCTTACCTTCTCTACAGTCAATTGAAAAATGAAACACTTGGCCATGTTCCAGACAAGAGCTCCATATGTATTCCTTTGCTGAGCAGCCACAGTTACCTTACGGTGTTTTTAATAACCTGTGGAGTCCTGGCAGCACCCTAAACCCCTTGAGACTTGGAGAAACTGGACACCTCATCTACACATCTCCCTTGTATTCATCCTGAACTCAGCCCGACCTCTGACTGACCATCAACCCCACCTGACCTGGAGGAGACAATGTTAGGGTTGTCCTGGGGCCTTGGGCTGTTCTGGCTGTCATGCACCACGGTTACATGGACAGACGAGACATGTGGAGAGGGCCAGGTCTTTCACAGCATACCAGGATCCATTGCCGGGATCCATCCACAGGGGGATTTTTATCCATACGGAGTAGCCTGGTATTTCTTTCTAAAGCAGGCCAGCTGGGCTGCCCCAAACCCATCCCTGACAGTTCTCCAGCAGGTGAGTGAGGTGGTAGTAACTCAGGTACACTTGTAGCCAGTGAATCTAGTATCAGTGTTGTCTAGAGTGCTGGCAGACAATAAATATCCCACCCTTTGCCAAGTCCTGCAGAGTCCTGAAGACACAGGATGAAGGTACATCACCACTGAATCAATAAAACTATACTTTGGACCAGCCAGTCTCTCTTTAACTTTCTCTAAAACATCTCAATAGAAAACAAGCCATAATCTATAATAAACAGAAAAAAATAGGACAGACTCTCTCACAAAAAATTACACGTTCACAAAATAATTACATCATTTTCTTGTTAATCACTGAATCCGTGTTTACAATTTGGTCAAATCATCCTGTAACCAGTCTGTAATCATTGCAGCCATCTCCTTGCTGGCATCTAGCACAAAGGCGTGGCGGAGCCCTTTCTCACAAAGTCGAATGTCCCCATCTGGAAAATCCATTTTGATCTCATCGTAGTACTGCTGTGGACACCAGCTGTCTCCAGTTCCATAGTAAAAAATCAGCTAGAAATCAAAGCATATCAAATCATTAATTTGAAAAGTTGCTGATGAAGCAACCAATATGCAAACAAAGAGCACTGAATTATTTGGAAATAAGTGATGCTTCATGACCCAAGATATACTTTGAGGAATAGCAAATTGGTAGTTCTTGGTTGTTTCCAAGTCTGCAATTATGATGAAGCCAATTAAATGCTTTGTTACTCAGTTTCCTAATCTGTAAAACTGTGGAACACAATACAGGCTTAACTCTGAAAACAGACATCTACTGACAAAAGTCTGTCTGTCTTAAGAAATTTGTTATTATGGATCAAAACATCTAGTTGTCCATGGAGTCCACCCCTAACCAGGCAAGCTGCTGTGTTTTCCCTAGCTATTAGCTGTTTTCTATGTTAGTGTTCCAGCTATTTAATCAAATGGCAAAATTACCAGTAAACTTGATGCTATGTCCCAGCTGAATGGGCTAACCATTATGGCTTTCTTCTGGATACAAACGAAGAGAAAGTAGGAGGTCACTTCACATTTGTGAGTAGCTCAGTCTTCTAGGCATCTGCTAGGTGTGATCTCAAACCACTTGCCTGGTTGGGGCCTGAGGTGGAGGAGCACCTATTTTTCTTAACCTCAGTGTTAGATGTAAACTGGAGGTGATTCACTCAGCCATGTTAGAATAACAGCAATTATGGTCATTCTCTGAAGCAAAACTTTTTTTGCTTGGAGAATTTTATAATCATAGAATTATAGAATCATAGAATAGTTGGAAGGGACCTTTAAAGGTCATCTAGTCCAACCCCCCTGCAATTGGCAGGGACACCTTCAACTAGATCACGTTGCTCAGAGTCCTATCCAACCTGACCTTGAATGTTTCCAGGGATGGGACATCTACCACCTCTCTGGGCACCCTGTTGCAGTGTTTCACCACCCTTATCGTAAAAAATGTCTTCCTTATATCCAGTCTAAATCTACCCTCTTTTAGTTTAAAACCATTACCCCTTGTCCTATTGCAACAGGCCCTGGTAAAAAGTCTCTCTCCATCTTTCTTATAAGCCCTCTTTAAGTATTGAAAGGCCGCAATAAGGTCTCCCTGAAGCCTTCTCTTCTCCAGGGTTGACAACCCCAACTCTCTAGCTTATCTTTGTGAAGTGCTGCCCATGTAGAGCACAGGCACCTCCCGCAGATCAAGGAGCAATTTTCTTTTGGGTTGTAATGTGGAACTAAAATTCTACCAAAGTCCATTTTGTTTTGATCTTGCCCTAATAACCTTGTTCAATGACATACATGAAGCAGGTGCTACAGGGCCCACCTAAACACAAAAGTCATAAATTCCAGGCAAATATCATATTTGATGAAGTGTCTTTTTTCTCTGTTAGAAACATTCAAAAAAACTCTTTCCCAAGTCATCATTTCCCCCCATTTTCATCTTAACTTTGCATGCTATAGCTATGTTTTTCAATTTCTATAAAGTATTTGAAGGGAGAGTGGTTGTCTGGGAGAGAGTAAAAACCTATGGATTTAAAACTATACAGAAACAAGATTAATGATGAGGACTCTTTATACTAAAATGTTTGAATGCAGGTACCAGAAGGATGTTGATTGCTCAACATATCACACACACAGCTTGGCCCAATTCCGTTACGCTCATTTGTTTCATATTTCATTTCTGTACTTCAGTGAATAATTGAGCAATGCTAACATAAATTAGGGGACAAGAAGTTTTCCTTTCATCACAAAAATCTTCATTTCCATCATTTTTGTAGCCATGTGGAATATAAATAAATGCACCCACTGGGGCAGAGGTGGGCTAAGAGCCCAGACTGCATTTCACAAAATGTTACAAGTTTTTGTCTCACTCGCTCTTCTGTTGTTGAAGCTTACCAAATCTTGGACATTACTGACTATTGGCTGTATCCAAAATATAATATCTCAGTTGCACAGACACCAACCCAAGTTATACTTCTATGTATATGTAAAACATGGAACATAAACCATCTCACGTTAACAAACATTATTGGTTTCCTTTGTCACTCACTAATTGCCAGAAACAAGGTATGTCGTTTGCTTTAGGAGAAAATTTCTTTTGATCTTGCCTTCGATTCATAAATCACAGGACATCACACTAGCAAAAATTCTTCAAAAAAGCCAACATAAAATGGCCAGCTGCACTCAGGCCTTTTGAAAGCCAAACATCTGACCGAATTATGGTTAACCCTAGGCTCCGTTACCAACAGATACAAAAATAAAGATTATGAAACTGAGAAGAAAAAGAAATGGAGCAACTCCAGTTTAATGGATTAGTCCTTGAAATTATTATGTATTTGATAGGCTAGTTGTAGAGTCTCATGACATGATCAATTAGAAAAAGACGAAAAGTCATTTACACTTACAAAGGTGGATAAAATACTTGGCTTAGTCTGCATGAACTGTGAAATGGGCTGTTCTCCAGGTAGGGTTGTAAACTTGAGAACTCACAGATTTGGAAATGCCTAAACAAAAGATTTATATGCATTCTTAGCTTGCCTCTGGTATATTTGCATTACAGTTTAATCTTTCACTGCATGATCCAAAGGATCCTTGACTCATTCAATCCACTGACAGGATGACGTTCAGCTGACGAGCTGCTATTTGATAGTATTTTTCATTTTAAAATCTGTGTGTGGTCTGAGGATTTATTTACTGCATATTTCATGGTTTACAGACAGAATTTATTTTCTTATGTGCATTCCTCTCACATGCACTGCTACAGGATTTGCATGCTCACATTTATTAATTTAGTTTTGCAACACCTTAGTGGCCATTTTTATCTTCATTTTGCAGATGGGGAGCACACAAATTAATGTCAAACCACATACATTAATTTGAAAGTACGTAGTGTAGTCTGAAACACCTAGAGCTGGTTTTCCAGTGTGTGCATAGTATTGAGTATGCTCAAAGGATAGCACTCCTGGACTTCATTTGCAGGTGCTCCGAAACACTGTCTATCTGTCTGTAAAACAGATTTCAAGGTCTTAAATGAGATACTCAGAAAAGTGAGGACAAACTGTGACCATCTATGACAAATATTAATGACTTCACCAACAGTCCATTCTTGGATGTGAAGTTTAGGTGCCTTTGCCATGAAGCTATCCATTTTTACTTCATATAGTTCCCTGTTTCTTTCAACAGACATTTTACTGCTTTTGCTACAAATGAGGTAGGAGTTCTGCATCCTTCTGTCTCCTTCATTACACAGCTCTTCTGGTTAATGAAAGAGGAAAAAGTGATGTTTTAATGAAAGACCACCTCTTAATGCATACATGAAAGGTGTCTGAATCAATATCAGTGCTCCCTAACTTTGAAATGCCTGGTAATGCAATATCAACTGGTTTTAGCAGAGTTTGTGTATACAGTCTGCTAGACTTCAAGGAGGTAAACCAAAAAACAGGTGTTTTACATGTGGCACCTACATGTATTGGCAACAGTGTTAACGCCTCTAGATCTGCTGCTTTAGGCCTCTGTCCCTTAAGGTAATGGTTCAATTGAGAGAAGTAGCACTGTCAGCTTCTGGCCAGAGGAACATGGGACACCTTCATGCTGGGTGTCACGCTGGGGGTGTCCAGCACAGAAATTAGTGATTTAGTTTGGATCTATTGTGTGTTTTTGAAGCAAATGTCATGTTTGTTCAGATTTACTATGCTCTGGTTAACATCATGGAGTAGTCTTGGAGTGTATGAACTCCTTTCAACTGAAACTAAGGCAAAGATGCTCTTCAGGATCACACTTAGTGAGCTCCAGTCACTAATGGACTTTCGGTCCATGGGACCATACAACTGTGGGCTAAAGTAATAACCCTCTGAGATGTCGACATGGGGAACACCAGGTCCTCACCACTTGCTAGTTATTTCTACAAATTGTCTTCTGTTGTGCTGCTCCTGTTTTTAAGGCACACATAGCCAAAGGCACCTGCTGAGAACAGAAACAGTAAGATTTTGGAAATTTAGGTTCCATTCCAAGCAGAAAAGGGCAGAATATCTACCAACTACTGGCCTTGCTGTCCAGTCCTTTGTCCAGTCTTTCCAAGTATGACTTCCCTTGTCTTGTCCCTTTCTGGTTTCAGGACTGCTCTACAAGCCTCTGGCTCATTGTTTCAGCTCTATTCTTACCTAGTCATTTCCAGTTTCGACTATTTCTGCTTCTTATTCTAGTCTCACATTCTTGCCCTGCCAAATCCAAATTTTAGTCTTCTGGTTTCTGCATCCCATTCTGAGTCTCAGTTCCAACCCAAGTTGCTTTTTCCCCCAGAAATTCTCCACTTTTTTATCAGTCTAGAACCTCTATTCCCAGCCCTACTCTTCAGATATCTCTCAAAATATCAGTTGCTCCTAGTGTCAGGGTTGGGTTCAGTTCAGCATAAAAACATCTAAATACAGGTAACTGTATTGTGGTTTTTACATGTGTACCAGGCATCCAAATTCCCACCACACAGTCAGGAAAGATATACTCAATAAAGCCATCGGTGCTTAGAAAGCTATTCAGCTGAAACAGCCAGTGTCTACTGTAAGGTGGGTGAAGCTGCACTTGAGGCTCCACTAAGAACTCAGTCGCCTAAGTGTAGATACCTATTGCCATTTGAGATGTTCTAGATATCTGAGGCATCTGCATGAGACCGGCAGGTATGACAGATTTTATAGGAGACCCACAACTTTCTGGCAAAACAGATGGAGGCCAGATGGGGATATTCCACAGTGCCCAAAATTAAACCAGATGTCCATGTTTAAGGGACAAATTCCACCTTGACTTCTTAAATAGATTTCTATTGACTCTAATAGGGTCATCTAGACTTCTAATTCCTCCTACTGAACCTGTAGGTTCCTACAAGTAAACTCATAAAGCATGATTCAGGTGCCCATAAATAAATATCTGGTAGTGCTAGGTTAATGGTTGGACTCAATGACCTTAAGGGTCTTCTCCAACCTAAATGATCTCATGCAACTCAAGACTGATGTGCTAGCATATACTGTTTGGTCTCCAGT